GAAAATTATGACACTAGTGTTTAGTTTTTTTCTTCTCTTTTTTTAGAATATATATTTTGTATTTTTTAATAAATAAAAACACATCTTGAATTAATAACAAACAAATGCAAAAGCACTTGCAGTTACAAAAACATAACCACTAGTTTATTAATTGAACAAAAATCAGCTTGATAATTAAAGTATATTGAAGTTGAAGAGTAATTATCATAAGCACAATGGATAAATGAGAGTATTTGTTTTGATGATGATGAGAATAGAGGAGATAAGGAATGGAGAAGACAAAGAGGATTGAGAAAAGAAGAAGAGGAAAAAGTGTATACATTGTATGTATTCAATGCATTTTTGTAGGATGAGTAGGGCTGGAAATGAGTCGAGTCGAGTCGAACTCACCTCAGCTCGGCTCGACTCGTTAAGAATTGTTCGAATTCGAGTTCGAGTTCGAGTTCAACACGAACTTTTTTTTAAGCTCAAACTCGACTCGTTATAAGTTCACGAACAGTTCGGTTCGACTCGTTAGGTCCATCTCATTAGGTTCAACTCACATGGTTCACGAACTTAAAAACTATTTTTTAAAATATATATATTTTTTAGTATATTTGACATTTTAAATAAATATATATTTTTTAAATAAAATATTAAAATAAAATAAAAGTTATCATATTGAAATTTAACTTTATCTTCGAAATCTACTAATTCAAAACCTACACAACTTTCAAGAGATACATTTGAGAGTCTAATTCAAAAACTACTAAATTGAAGATTAAATTTGTCTAAAATTTGAAGTAAATATTTAAACCTAATCTTAAAGACAGTATAATTCTTTTCATATGTAATCGAGTTGACTCATGAACCTAACGAGTCGAACTATGTATAGTTCAAGTTCAGCTCATTTAGTTAACGAACTTAATTTTTCGCTCATACTCAACTCATTTGGTTCATGAACCTAGTTCAACGATTTAATTGTCGAGTCGAATTCCGAACTATCTTCGAGTTGGTTTGGTTCATTGTCAGCCCTAAGGATGAGGTACTTCAATGGTGAATCAATACATTATACAATAAAACAAAAAAATGTCCACTTATGACTTTTCATTTTCTAATATATTAATTAATTTTTTATTAAATAAATATGCCAAATTATATAATATATATTATATAATATAAAATTAAATATTATGGTCAGAGTCGGGGAATCCGCGGGGCGGAGGGTACTTCTCCAGTCTCCGCACCAAAGTGTCATTGGAGAACTTTTCCCTCCATCCCCACCTCCACGGAGGATAAAATCCTCAACTTCGGAGCTCCAAACAGATGATCCCCGTTAACGGATGCAAATTGACATCCCTACATGTTCCTCACCAAGTGTTCAAAGTAATGGTACAAATGGGGATAATGTCTTAATAAAGAGTATTGTATTGCATTGTCAAATTTTTGTGAAAAATGTCCAAGTGTTTCATGAAGTGTTTGGGAAAACACTAATGTCAAGTGAATATCATTGTGTTGTATCTATATGCATCATAATAATAAACATATGTTTCATAAATGAATATTTGATAACAATTGTCTCAACGAAATGTGTTATCATTTTTCTTAATGTTATCCCGCAAAAACTTGATAACATGTCTAATACATGTCAAAAAACTTTAAGTGTTGAATCTCGCAAATGTCCACTGATGTATGATAAATATCCCTATCTTATTTTATAGATCTATGTGAATGACTCTGATATTTTTTTTACTATACTTATCTTTTATTATTATTATTATTATTATTATTATTATTATTATTATTATTATTATTATTATTATTATTATTGTTGTTGTTGTTGTTATTGTTGTTATTATTATTACTATTTTATTATTATTATTATTATTATTATTATTATTATTATATTATTATTATTATTAATATTTTATGTTTTTGTATTCTCTTTAGAAAAAAAATGTAAAATTTAATTTATTGGGTTCTATCCTACTATAATTTTAGTGTTTTTACACATAAGAGTTACATGCCCTTTGCACATAAGAGTTACATGCCTTTTAGTTGGATAATAACATTAGTTACTAATCCTTAGTGCAGACATATGTGATACAATAGAAGATAAACCTTAATATTATATCAATAAGATTAGGAAATATTTATAAACATATTAATTGTATCAATAAGATTAGGAAATATTTATAGACATATTTTTCTTAATGTATTTTGAACATAAGGACGAATAGACACTTTTTATAAAGAAATTAATTGCTAGTATTTATGTGTACTTACATATTTATATATGTTTAATTTTATGAGTAATTATCATATTCAAAATATAAATTTTTATCTTACTTATCACATTGATAAATATCAACTTCATTTCTTAAAAAAATTGAAATGATAAATATCAACTTCATTTCTTAAAGAAATTGAAATGTTTGTTACTACTCTCGATGTCACAAAATAGATATCTTATATGTGAAAAATATTCGTTATTTTGAGTATTTGCATCATTTTCAATCTAATATTTTATATTTTGCATTTATCGTAAATTTGGATACACCAATGTATAATAATAACAATTTAATAAAAATAATATTTTTTTATCATTCATTTATATAATATTTTTTATTCGTATGAATTGATTAATTAAATTATTTATTTTTGAACCGAAGAAATATAATTTTAGAATATATGAAAAATATTACATCATACACTTTTAAACTAGACGAGACTTATTTAAGGAGGTTTAAAGTGACTTTGAGGTTTTGATTTTGAAAATCAATCTTAAAACTAAAATATGTCTGATTAAAATAAGATTAAATTAATTTTAGTGTAAATTTTAAATAAATTTTTACTATAACTAAAATTGTGAGATATTGGATCGAACTCTAATTAACATGTTATCGAAGTTTGCTCACATGCTGTTGTCGAAAACTTACATGCTGTAGTCGAATTATGTTCTAGTATGTAGTTGTCGAATTTGAGCTTTTGTTAAGGATCCAATTGTTTAAGTTAACTTGTAATGAGTAATTGTTAAAAAACCTATTAGTTTAATATATTAGGTTTTATTATAAATAACATACTAGTCTCTCATCTTAGGTGTGGTGTGACAAAACCTAATTAGGGTGAGAAGATTATTTGTTATTCTTGAGTACTTGTAATCTGTTTTATAGAGAAAGTAAAGAATATTAGTTATAATCAATCCTTATCGTTCTCTTTGTTTTTTCTTATCCCTAATCCTTGTGTGTTTCTTGATCATAAGGAAACTGATTATATTTTGGTTTAAAGCATCCCAATTCACAACAAAACTAATGAAATATCTTTTATAATTCTTTTTTTGTTTTTGTTTTAATGTTAAGAGGTCACTATCAATAGTCGTCGATTGCTACTATAACCTCCACTAGTCACCCCTTTAACTACCATCAACCACTATTCCAACTATTGTTAACAATTATTTCAACTAACTCTATGATCACCTTCCATGACCACTTTATTCACTTATGATCTCAAATCTCACTATCATTGACTACCACTACGATCACCACTAACAAATACCATTATGATCACCACCACTTTAACCATCGCCAACAAGCACTTTGATTATTGACAATTATCATTCCATCCATTTCTAATCACCACCGACCACTACCAAGCATCATTCTAACCATCAACAATCATCAGTGACAATTGTTTATACCACCAATCTGATCACCGCTACCAACATTGACCATCTCTTTAACCATCACACCGACCACCATAAACCATCACTACAAACAACTCCAACTACTACTTTAACCACAAAAATCCACAACTCCAACATCCATTAATCACCCGTATCAATTATCACTTTATCAATATCAAATACGTATTTCGAAAATCAAGTACAAACAACCACCACTTTTTATCACTCTTATTAAAATTACTATTGAATAAATATATTATATATTTATATTAATATAAATATTTTACAAATATAATCATATGAATGATTTGAATTTTAAAATATATTATATTAAATATTTATTTTTATTATATTTTAACTTTGATTTTTAAAAACTTTAAAAACAAAAATTAAAAGTAATTTTAATTTTTAAAACTCAAAATAAAAATAAAATTTTATCTATAAAAGTTTAAAAAATATAAAACACAAACTATCTTAGACTCTGTTTGATAAAACTAACTGATAACTAATAAAGAACTGATAGCTAGTAGCTGATAACTAATAACGGATAGCTTATAGTTGATGACCAGTAGGTTATAGTTGATAAACTAATTTTGTAATGAAATTTAAATATCTAAAATAATAATATTATAATTTGATCTTATATTTTAATAAAGTACATATTTCTTTCTCTCTTTTTTTTTTCTCTCTCAAAATCTATGATATGTCTACTAGCAAACAAATATATTCAATAATACAATATCATATTTATAAAAATAATACATTAATAATAAAAACTCAAATAATAAATAATTAAAATAATAATTTAAAAATAATAAAAAAACAATTCAATGTAATGAACAAAATATTCCATTAATACCAAAATGGAAGATAGATTGCATCATGGATTTGTTCGGTAAAAATAATAAATAACCTTTATATTCTCTCAACTAAAATACAATTATTTTAATATAAATTATAATTATATAAAAAATAAAAATGAATTTTTGATAAAATAGTAAAAATATAAATTAAAAAAAGTCATAATTAAAAATTATAAACTCAAAAACTACTTCAAATAACTTTAGAAAAAAATTTCAAACAAAAACAATTTTATTTTATTAATATAAATTGAAAAACTAAAAACTCTTTTTATATCTTACCAATGTGACTACTAAGTACTAATAAAACCATAATATTCCCTTCCTCTCTAATTATAAGACCCACAATTCTCAACCAACCCCTCCTTTATGCCTTGTTTGTTTCTCCACTTTTATCATTTCATTTCAACCTCGTACTCATAGTTCCTCTTATTCCCATCACCCCCAAACAAACCACATCACAACAAACACCACTCCCAATGGCATGCTCATCTACCACCTCTGCTTCTTCCCTCTTATCTCTAAACCCTAATTCATCACTCATCTCTCCAAAAAAACCTATTTCCACTCTCTCTATCCCTAATTTTCTCCCTAAACCCTTCTCGCTCCCTTCACTTTCATTCTCTCGCCCCTCTCTTCTTCAACACTCTTCTCCCCGCAATTCCTTCCTCGTTAATGCCTCTGTAAATTCTTCCCCCAATTTTTATTATTCAGTTTTTATTTCGAAATTTTCTGCATTGCTATAAACGTCACCGTTGTTGCTTTCTAGCTTGTATGAAAATAGTTTGGCTTTATTTTATTTTTGTTATAGAAATAGTTTATGCATAAATACTTAAATGATAACCAAGTTGTTTATATACACATGATCTTACTTTGAGCTAGAATGTTTTAATGCATTTGGGTATTTTGAAGCATGAAGTATTGAAAATTTGCAGTTTCTTCAATATATCTAGTTCATTTGGGTTTTGAGATTTTTTTTCTTCTTTAATCAATAATCTAATTAAGAAAGATCTCGAGACTAACATTTTGGATAAAAGCATAGACCGGGATAGAACATTATGGTGAAAGTTGATCAATATAGCCTACTCCACTTAATGGGATAATGCTCGGTGGTTGTTGTTGTTGTATCACTAAATTTTAGTCTGAGTATAGTCTTTAAGTTTTTGGTTTGACCTACACAGAGTGGACTTCCATTGGTTGGAAATGTAGCACCTGATTTTGAAGCAGAGGCTGTTTTTGATCAGGAGTTTATCAAGGTAAGCTGCCACCAACCAAAGTGAATATGCATACTGATTCTTAATGGCTTGAAATGTTTTTTATTTATTTTTGAACTAGAATGTTTTCATGTTTTAACGGCTAAAGCATTGTCATTCCAGGTCAAACTCTCTGACTATATTGGGAAGAAGTATGTTATCTTATTTTTCTACCCATTGGACTTCACCTTTGTTTGTCCAACAGGTTGGTCAGTCAGGTTGATCTAGTTGTGCTTTTAAATTTCTTTCCATAGCTTACTAACGATAAAATCTGCTACTTGAATGCAGAAATCACTGCTTTCAGTGACCGGCATGCAGAGTTTGATGCAATAAATACTGAGATTTTGGGTGTTTCAGTTGACAGTGTGGTGCGTTGGTTTACACTGTTGCTTTTATTGTTACTCTTGATACTGTTTAAGGATTTACCTTATAGGGATAAGCCATAAGGTTAAAAGTTCATACATATCATGTTTTCATGTCTCTGAATACTTGCTGAATTGAATAAGAGTATTGTCAGAGAAAATTTATTTATAAATAATGGTAAAGGGAAAAATATGAATAGACCCTTCATTGAAACATAGATAATTGAAATATTTCATTTGTTGTTCTACATATGTAATGTGATTCATAGTAGTTGTAAACTAATGCACACAATCTTTACATAGAACACATGGATACTCTTACATGCTGAGTGCTGACTCATGCCCTTAAAAAACAAGGCTCTTTGTGTTAGTATCTGACAGGTTCGGTATGTTCTTATGGTTTTGACGTAACCTATGTAATGTAACGGAGTTTCAAGCATTTGTTTATTTATTAGTGATGCTTTTGTTTTTTTTGTGTGTAGTTTTCGCACCTTGCATGGGTTCAATCAGATAGAAAGTCAGGTGGCCTTGGTGACTTGAAATATCCTCTAGTTTCTGATGTTACCAAATCCATATCGGAATCTTATGGTGTTCTCATTCCTGATCAGGTATATTCTACCATGAAAATAGTGTTACCTACTATGAAGAACAGACACCGGAGACACGACACCGACACTTACACGTCACACTAGTAATAATTTGAAAAAATGAATAAATTAAACGTAATCACGAGTATCGGCGTCGTTGTCGGACACTGACACTGACACCTTTTATCTGATGTGTCAGTGCTATAGAAGTTACCTATGTATGGCTGAATTATAATAAAGCAGCAATCACATAGTTTGTCTGTTGTATCATCTCTCCCTAAATGAACTTAGTAAAGGTATCCTCTCCACTTTGTAGAATTTCGAGTTATCTGCAACCCAATCGAGTCAAGTTTTTATTTGGCTTTTTAAGGAATTGAACCAGGATTTTGTTTTCCTTTCCCAACACATGTCCTTTAAGCTCATGTTTTGATGTTCTCTGGAATGAATTTCACAGTGCTTATTAACATTAAGCGGTCAAAAGTTGGTATTGCCTATCATTCCGTTATTTCAAACTCTGTCAAAATTTACCATAAAAAGAATCCTATGATGCAGGGAATTGCATTGAGAGGATTGTTCATTATCGACAAGGAAGGGGTTATTCAACATTCTACCATCAACAACTTGGCAATTGGTAGAAGTGTTGATGAGACAAAGAGAACACTCCAGGTGATTGATTATACAACTAATTAGAAACTCATGAAGATTGAACTATATTCTACTCAGAGTATCACATTTTTATTTGTTAGGTCTATATCCGTTCCAACGAGTATATAATTTCATCGTTCCTCTGTTTTGCATTGGTCTTGCAGGCCCTGCAGTATGTACAAGAGAACCCAGATGAAGTTTGCCCTGCTGGATGGAAGCCTGGGGAGAAGTCCATGAAACCAGACCCCAAACTTAGCAAAGATTACTTTGCAGCGGTATAATGTGTATACCAGTTAAGAGCAGCCATGCACGTCTGTATCAATTTGAGTTATAATTTACACTGGTGTACTGGATTTTGTATTGTACTATGTATTGATAATTTGCAATTTTTTTGTTTTGATTATTGTGTATGGATGATCATAATCTTGTGTGATCTACACCTTTTGCCAAGTCTGGAGTTCCATGTTGATATCAATCCCTTGCAAAATGGGATAAAATTGGAAACTATCACTTTAATAAAATGAAATTTAGAAGCTATATGCTGACCAAAAATGAAGTTTGTAAGTATGAAAAAAAGAAGTCAGAACAATAATTAAAAAATCTCAATAAATGCAGTTTTTATGAATTCTTGAGCTCATTCAACTTAACATGTATCATGTATGTTTATCCTAGCAGTTTTAACAATATGATAGATTTGGAGCATAAATTGTTGGAGCACAGATAGGAAAAATCTAAATTCAATACAATTAGAAATAGCAATATCTCAGGGACCTTCAAAATTATCGGTATTACCATAAAATGTATAAACAGTATGGGTATATATAATGATCATGTCCTTCTCATTCCCTATTCTATCAACTTGCAAGTCTAAACTTTCAATACTCAAAAATAGCAAAAGACTGTAAAATGTCAAATATATTTAATTTTAGAATGTATTTGTCATTTACATAATTTTATAAGATTTCAAAAACTCTATGATCGATGCCATGAAATTCTGTCAATTGGAACGATTCCGAGATAATTTTGTTGTTTTAAGATTTTGCAAAAATTGTCTCCCCAAAAATTACTAAGTTGAGTTGCAAACTACATTGCTTTCTTTAAGACGTTACAATTCAAAATTATGCAAAGTAATCACTCAACCACGACGGTTTTAAAATAAAACAATTCAGTTATATATTGTACGATTGCTACTTGTACGATAGATAATTAGTTTAGAGTTACATCCTCCGATGATTCTATGACCAATTGAGTATGGTAGAAATACAACTTTTAGTATCTGATTTTTATACCAGTCATAGATGACGCGAAGAAGCTACTCGGAAATAAAAACAGAAAAGAAAATTATAGATGAAGCGGAGACGAGAGAGAAGAGAAAGATTTTTGAAATGCGTAAATTTGGAGTGAAGAGAATGAGATGAAAATGCCTCTATTTATTGGAGAAATTTTAATCCGAATGGGAGAAAATGTGGAGGAATGAAGCGGATTCGACCCAAAATTAACAGTTATGAAACTTGTGGAAACGTGGAGGGACATCACACAAATTAATCAATTAATAAATATTCATATACAACTTACAAACTAATTAATATTAAATAATTTTCACCATTTCAGATACCAAAATATAATGGATCACCTAAGTCCAAGCCCAAGTCCGCCCCAAACCGAGCCAAACCAAATGGTCGGACAAACAACGGTGGGCGCATGTGTGTAATGGTTCATGGTGGTGTATCCTTACCCTTTTAGAAAATTGCGTACCCCTTAGGGTACACCCATGAGATCAACCTTTCCTAAAATGTGGTATCCCTCCAATGTGAGACTTTAATGAGCTTTTTCAAATTCACCTCTACACACACTACCTCATATTTGTCCTTATTCATTGCCAACTTAAAGCTAAGCTTCCTTTCCAATTCCCCACCAACCCTTTGATTTCCAACAATTCCTCGTTTGAATTTAAAAAAGTGATTATAGAAGTAATGTTTCTAAGGTTGTGCATAAATAAAGGTGTCCACGACTTGAACCTTTGCATAACATAAATAAAGTAGGATTCCGATTCAACAAGAGTGACACAATTGTCTTGAACTCTATCTCAAATATCAAACTCGCATGCAAAATTTTCTTAAGATGTATTCTAAAAGGGCGTACTTTAATGACCATACACGCCTATCCCGTTTTAGTGAAGACTCTAAGAATTCTGCCTCGAAATTCCATAGGAATCGACATAAGTTTTGTGGAACCATGTATCGTAAAGACACAAGGGCATTTTCTAAGTAGTATGGCTAAATCTCTCTAACACACACAAACACACACATGCACGCACACACAAGGATTTTAGAACCTATCATTTTAAACTAAAATCCCAAAACATGTTTTTGAAGCCTAGCTGTTTGAATTGGAAACTGTCAAATTGGTTGTGATAATTTTTTGAATTGTCTAATCGATTAGAACAAAGACCTAATCAATTAGATAAGGGTGAATCAAGTCCATGTTTCTTAACGATTGATAACAACTCTATATCAAAATCTTCCATGATGGGCCATAATAATCAATTATTTGAAGTATCTAATCGATTAGACTTAAGACATAATCGATTAGGTGAGTTAATTGTCCCATGGATTGTTTCTATTCTTACACCATCTTTTTGCCTATAAATAGAGAGTTTATCCACCATTTTAAATTATCCCAAAAATGTGAAAAACCTCACATTTTCCTTACTCTCGCTATCTCTAAAATCATTTCCACTTCACATATTTAACCCATAGTGCTTTGAGAGCTTTCTTGAGTTTAAGAGAGGAATTTGTCAAGTGTAAGAGATTTATTGTAAATTTATCAAGAGTAATATTTTTTATTGAGTAAACTATTCTTCCTTAGGAAGTAATTATTTTGGTATAAAGCAAAGCCACTGTTAAAAGCTCTTTGTTTGGTTTTGGGGATTAGAATAATTCTCTGTTTGCTTCGTGAGCTCCGCCATTGAAGAAAAGCTCTCCTTTTGGGTTTGTGAAGAATAACCATAGAAAAATCTTCACAAAAGTTATTGAGCTCATCCCGGTTTAAATATATACTGGTTCAAGATCATCCTATTGTAAAATCTCACTCAATTTCTGAGTTTAGATTGTATAAAAGCTCAATAGGTTCAAGATCAACCCAGTAACAATCACAATTCAGTTTGTGATCAGCCCGTGTAAAACCTCTATTCAGTTTGGAGGATATCTAAGTCAAAACTCCACCTTGGTTCAAGATCAACCTATTCAAAATCTCTGTTTGGTGATTTGTGGTGAGAAATGTGAAATGCTTGTATTCTCTAATTTCGTATATGTATATATAATTATATGCATTGATTATTATGATAATATTTCTCACCCTTCTGCTGTTTTATAATGCTCTATGAGGCATTGCAGATTAGGTTGCTGAAGGTTTCTTTTGTGAAGTATAGCTTCATTCTTTTGAGTCGGACTGCTCTGATTATGTAACACCGGGTAGTTAGGCTTGTATAGCATTCTTTTGTGATACATTTGTGATGTATCAGTTGATGATGTTTTGTAACATGAATGATTGATGAACAACTGGATAACATGTATTTATGTGATCAAATGTTTTGAAGTAATTCAAATGTTTTATTCTTCCGCTTTAATTTTAAATATTGAGACGTGGGTTTAAGGACTAAGTTCCTCTACTTTGAAAACTATCCCACTGTTGCATATTTTTATAAAGCAGGTGTTGAGTGTTTTATTGGTAATAATGTGACATACTTCTTCTATACCGTATTTTAAATCATACTCTGATAAAATTTACACGTACCTATATATTTATTGTTTTATTTGGGGGTATAGAAGGGGGTGTTACATTAAGTGGTATCAGAGCAGGCCGGTCCGTCCGGCCAAGTTGTTAGTGTGTTATTCTCTGTGTATATTGATATGTGTGTGTATTACACTATCGATATTGGTGTTCTTATGTGGCTTTGTTGTTGGAATTCAGTAAGATGGTTGCAGGTAGGAATGACGAAGCAATTGCGGAGGCTTTGACGAGATTGGCTGGGGTAATTGGACAGAATCCTCAGGCCAACGTGAATGGGGGGAATAATGCTGATGATGAATTCCGTGCTTTGGGAAGGTTCCAAAGGAATAATCCACCGACGTTCAAGGGAACCCATGAGCCTGACAAAGCACAAATTTGGTTGAAAGCTATTGAAAAGATTTTTCGGGTTATGAATTGTTCAGATGCACAGAAGGTGCAGTTCGGAACTCATATGCTCGAAGAGGAAGCCGAGGACTGGTGGGGTAATACTCGCCAAAGATTTGAAGAGGATGAGATTGTGATTACTTGGAATCTTTTTAGAGAGACATTTCTGGAGAAGTATTTTCCAGAAGATGTGCGCGGAAAGAAAGAGATTGAATTCCTTGAGCTGAAGCAAGGTAATTCGACGGTAGCTGAGTATGCGGCAAGATTTGAGGAGTTAATCAAGTTGTCCTCACTACAACACTGTTAATGCTGAGAGATCTAAGTGTCTCAAATTTGTGAATGGCTTGAGGCCTGAGATCAAGCAAGCTATTGGTTATCAGGAAATCCGGCGATTTTCTGAGTTGATAAACAAGAGTAGGATTTATGATGAGGATAGTAGGGCTCGGTCTAGCCACTACAAGAGCCTAAGTGATAAGAAAGGAAAGATCCAATTCAGAGGAAAACCTTACGTGACTCCTGCTGAAAAGGGGAAACAAAGGGTTGGTTTCGGTAAGAAACCAAGTGGGGGAGTTTCTACTCCGGTGAGATGTTATAGGTGCGGTGAAGAGGTACACCGTGCTCCAGAATGCAAAAGTGTTAAGAAGACGTGTTTCAAGTGTGGCTAGCCAGGCCACAAGGATCTTGAGTGCAGAAGCGGTACGGGTGTGACTTGCTACAATTGTGGTGAGCAAGGGCACATTAGTACCAACTGTGATAAGCCGAAGAAGAATCAAGGGAGCGGAAAAGTGTTCGCTCTATCTGAATCTGAGACTGCTAGTGATGATCGCTTGATCAGAGGTACGTGTTTTATTAATGGTATGCCTTTGATCGCTATAATTGATATTGGAGCTACGTATTCTTTTATTTCTCTGGAGTGTGTTAGAAGGTTGAATCTTGAGATGTCTGTTATTGGTGGTGGCATGGTTATTGATACTCCTGCTATGGGTTCGGTAACTACACCGTATGTGTGTTTAAATTGCCCTTTGAGTATTTTCGGTAGAGACTTTGGGGTTGATTTAGTGTGTCTTCACTTAGATCAACTTGATGTCATTCTGGGAATGAATTG